CCTAAGACCATCAGAAAACATATATATAATTACATATTGTTTTTGTGATTAATCACTATGCTTTAATTATGTTCAATTTGTAACAATGTAATTGGGGGTCACCACAACATGAGGAACTGTATTAAAGGGTCTCGGCATTAGGAATGTTGAGAACCACGGTACTAGAGAATAATGCGCAGAAGTTAGAGCAAATATATTTGTATTGATTTGGGAAACCATTTAAAATACTCCATTAAGAATGAAAAATAAGTTTCAGAAATATATACATATGTTTGTATGTATGTCTATATATAGTATGGTAGAGTATTTATTATTTTTAAAAATCTGGAACATTACACACAAAACTGATGACGATAGCTACTTCTAGATCTCAAATGTGGTTTGAAGGCCCTTTTGAGGCTTCAATGAAGTCAAACTATTTTCATAATTATACTAAAATGCTATCTGACTTTTTCATCTTCCATTCTCTCATAAGAATACAATGGGATTTTTCAGAAGTTACATGACATGATATTGCAATTGATGTAAATGCAGAGCAAACATGAGAATCTAGATTTTATTATGCCGTACATTAAAGAAATATGTAAAACTGCATATAAAAGGCAGTAATGGCGTCTTTCAGAATTACTCTGTTATTGAAAGGAGTTGGAAGGGGGTAATCGTTTTCTCTACAGATGACCCCCTGTTGGAAGCCTTAGCCTGGAAAGTGCCAGGGGAGGATGAGGGGGAAAGAGGAAGGCAGAAGCTACTATATTGAGCATCTACTGAAATGTAGGCACTTCACACCCTTTATGTTATTTAATCTTAACAACCACCTGAGGTGAGTAACATCTGCATTAAAAAATAAAAAGGAAAGAAAAAAAGAATGCTCTAAGAGGTGAAGTAAATTCCCTAAATGCCTTTAGCTAGTAAAAGGACAAGGTAAGGATCCAAATTACACCTGTCAGACAACCATGTACCATGCTGATTCCATGTTTCTTCTGCCCTGATGGCCTGTGGGTCTGCTTTCCAGATCTCTTCAGCCCTAATGAAGTACATCCCCCATCCTACCTTTTCTAACCCTGATTTAACCCTAGGCCTTGTGAATACACATTCTCTCATATGGCACTATTTCAACTGAGGGGTTGGAGGTAGAGGTAGTGCTGTAAATTCCTATACAACCCATTCCTCTATCTGTAGGGAAGCACAGGAGACTTGGTTGGAAAGTCTGTAAGGCAGAAATTCGGAAAAGGGAAGTTGGCTGAAGGCGGCCCGCCCTTGTTTCTTGGAATTCCGACATAGGGAAGTTTGCTGAAGGACATATGGCACTATTTCAACTGAGGGGTTGGAGGTAGAGGTAGTGCTGTAAATTCCTATACAACCCATTCCTCTATCTGTAGGGAAGCACAGGAGACTTGGTTGGAAAGTCTGTAAGGCAGAAATTCCGAAAAGGGAAGTTGGCTGAAGGCGGCCCGCCCTTGCTTCTTGGAATTCCGACATAGGGAAGTTTGCTGAAGGTGGCCACTCCTAATTGTTCCTTGATCTTTCTAAACAAGTCTGTTCAGGAGCGGACCCTTGGTGTTTACCGGAATCTTTATGTTTAATCTTTAGGTGTCCTTGCTTAAAGGACACTGCAGACACATATGTCCTCCCAAAATTACTTACCCTACTGATTGTATCTAAAAGATAAACTTTATCTCAAAAGTTTATATCTGAAGAGGCAGGCGATTGAGGCTGTCTGGTTCCTATAGCCAGGCAGTCCCTTAGCCCTCTCTTTCACAGCAATCATGTGTCAGAGTAATCATTCATCCATCGCTCAGGGTCCGCTGGTCAGCCCCGGCACCTATCACTGGGAATGCTCTAATGCTCACATTACACCGACCTCTGCATTTGAAGATTCTATAGAGCAGTATGTCTTAGAAAATAGCCTCCTTAATGAACCAAATAAAGTGATGATCAAAAATAGACCCAGAGACATAGAAACATGTACAAACTGTCAAACCTCAGAGGGAAGGCAAAAGAGGGTGGGTGGGAAGAGATCAACCAATGAACTTGTATGCATATATGCATAACTCATGGACACAGATAATGGGTGGTAAGGGCCAGGGCGGGGGAGGGAGGCAGCAGGCTAGAAGAGGTTAATGGGGGAAAAAGGAGGACCTATGTAATACTTTCAACAATAAAGATTTTTTTAAAAAGAAAATAACCTCCTTGTTAACTGAGGTACATAGTTTTTGAGCTACTATTCAGATAACAAATACTAAACATTTTACATTCCTATCTTGTGTCAATCAATATGTATTTATACACACTAAACTTAAAAAGAGAGAGATAGCCTTGACTGAGTGGCTCAGTTGATTGGAGCATCATCCTGTACACCAAAAGACTGTGGGTTTGATTCCCATTTAGAGCACATACCTAGGTTGCTGGTTCAATCTTCGGATGGGGCACATTTGGGAGGAAACCTATTGATGCTTCTCTCTCTCCCCCTTCCTCTCTCTCTAAAATCAATTTTAAGACAAACAAACAAACATATCCTTGGATGAGGATTAAAAAACAGAAGAGAGCAATAGAAAAAGTGCCAAAACCTTCCCATAATGCTATTAATACCTATAGTTGTCTACTTTTAAAATGAGAAGCTATTTCTGAACTATGTAATTACTGGGTTACTCGAGACTCCGGATAGTTACCACAGTCAGTGTATTAAAGCCAGCTCTCCCGAGCAGATGTCCCAGGTCATTGACAGCAGTGAAAGGAGAAATGTGTGGAGAAAATCCTCCTTCCCTTTCCGTTTCTGCTAACTGTAATGAACACCGAAGTTCATAGAGGGTGTCGCCTCCAAACATCGCACCAATAAAAACTCCATCTGGTTTTAAAACATAATGAATCTGTAATAAATACAAGACAACAAAACTTTTCAAAACGTTATATATAAAAATGGTAAAAGAATAAATATATGGTGTCTAAATAAATATCTTGTGATTACATTCTTATTCTGTCAAATTAATGATCAGATAATTTAATAAATAACACCTAAGGCAACAACTACCAGAAAGGCATTATACTTAACATTGTTGTAAAGATAGACAATACATGTATTAATAGTATTGGTATCTGTAAAATGTTATGTTTTCAAATTTTTTACTAATAGAAAACTTATTTTTATATTCAGAAAAATAACAAAAGAAAAAAGTATATAGTGTAGCAGATTGCAAAAGTCACAGTTCCCTCTGTGTCTGTGTCCTCTGAAATGCCATTCTGTAACAGCTCCCATCAAGAGATGGAGTCTACTTCCCCACTCCTTGAATCGGGCTGGCCTGTGACTTGCTTTGGCCAAAGCAAGGGCAAGTGACAGTGTGTCAGTGTCAAACTGAGGTCTCAAATGGCCTTGCATGATTCTATCTGCTCTCTTGGAGCCCCGTGTGGCTACCATGTGGTGAACAAGCTAGCCTGAGGAGCAGCGGTAAGCCAGGCATCCCAGCTCAGGCCATTCTTGACCACCAAGATCCAAGACAATCTAGTAGCGGAGCACAGACACATGGGTGAGCCACATCAGAACCAGAAGAGGTTCCTAAGTCCAGCCCAAATTCCCAACCCACAAAAATCACAAGACACATAAATTGTTGTTTTAAATCACTAAGCTGGGGTGGCTTGATATGCAGAAAAAGCTAATTTATAAAGAAACCATTATGATTCACAACATTAACCTGGAAACACATTAGCTTTCCTTCAGGAGAAGTAACTAACTTTCTTTCTAGCTTGAGAACAAAAACATTTTAATTGGTAACTTAAGCAAAGTAGTGGCTAGAAGGAATTCCAGAATCACCAATGTTTACTCATGACCCTCTTAGACCTACAATCTGTAACTAGCTTTAACTGGCTATTCTCTACAATGAGAAACATCACAGGAAAGGATAGATTCTGAAGTAAACCAGGACCCAAATCACAGCAGGCTCTTCTAATCAGAGTATCCATCTTGAATTTATATTAAATGTTATTTAATTATATATTTTATATTATAAAATATAAAAAACATACTTATTATAAAACATGAAGCAATTACAAAACACTACTAGTATATAAGCAAACTGCAAAATCCTTGGTTTCTTCCCTTTGCCCCTTTAGAGTTACTTCCTTCTCTAGTCACCAGACCCTAACATAGCAAGTATCTAATATTCAGTCCTGAGCTTCTGCAGCTTCTCTCTACCTCAGAGGGCTTATCAATTCCCATGGATTTCACAAGGATTATTTTCCAAACCTTCTGTTTAGCTTGTACATTTTCTTAGAACTCTAAATTCATCTTCAACTTACTGTGCTATGAACATTTGTCTCCTGGCAAACTCACTCCCCAGCACATCCAACACATATTAGTTCTTAAACCAACTCCCCTTTACAATTGCCGAATTTCTGTTCATTATTATTTTCTATTCCCTTTATCCGATCACTATCATTTTTCCTTCTACTTTTACTAATTATTCTCCCAGGTATCCAGACTCAAAACTTTAACTCCTCCCTCTCTTTGATCTTCAGATCTAACCAGCCACTAAACCGTGGATTCTTCCTTTGCAGAGTGCTAAATACCTCTCTCTTCCTTTTCACTCCTATCATTCCCACCTAGGTTTAGTTTATCTCATGCCTGGAACACTGAAACAATCTCACTTCAATTGAACCAACTTCTGGCATCAGCTTTCTAATCAACAAAAGGAAGACATCTTGCACAGTTATTTAACACATATAAAAGAACAAAGTGATTGGCAAATGGGATGTGCCTCACATATAGTAGTTATTATCCTGCCATCCAGTTGTTTAATCATGTCACCTTCCTCTTCAAAATTCTCCAGTGACTCTGAACTGCCTAAAGTATAAACTCCAAATTCCTTATTCTGTCACCCAAGTCCTCCCAAATCTGGTCCCAGTATACCTCACCTCTAAGCACTATGCTAATCCTCCAAAGAGGCTTCCTCTTGGTCCTCTCATGCTCCTGGGCTCTTGTACCTGGCACCTATACTAATTCTGCCTTTCTGGAATGTCTTCCCACTCCAAACCTAACCTACCCTCTAAGGCCCTGTTCAAGTAATTCCTTCCTCTTGAAGCTTTCTTGGCAGATCCAAGCCAGAGTGATCTGCTTTTTACCTACCACTCAGCCATTCGCTGATAAATATCAACCAACCAACATCTACCGAGAACTCTCTAAGTATAGGCATGAGGAAGATACAAATATAAATAAATAAGTTCGTACTAACAAAAAATTTATAGGTAATTAAGGAGGAAAAAAACCCAACCAGAAAAAGTCTTGCAATATCAATATTACCTTGTACAAGTTACTAAAGTCTTCATAAATATTTAAGTATCTCCATACTAGATTTTTTGAATTGGCAGGGTGGGGGGAAATCACCCAATGTATTTAATATGTCAAAAGGCACCAAACATATCCAGCCCACAGAATATAATAAATACTTAATTGATTTGCTTCAATTTCCAATTGTCAGATGTATAAGATGGAAAACATTTATAAGTTTCCATGTGAAAACAGAAACATCTATAAGTTTCTAATAATAAATAGAATAACACATGCTACTGGAATCAACATTAAATTTTTTACCTGTTCAAGTGCTCGAGGAAGGTCATTCACCCAGTGCAAACTAAAACATGAAAACACGCATTTGTTCTAGCTTAATTCATATAATTAATTAGTATAAGTATCACTAATATAATGACAAACCACAAAAAAAAAGAGTTAATTTTAAGTTTAAAATTGCATATCAAAATTTACTGATTGATCTTATACAGGTTTTTAAAAATATGCCCAGGGAAAAACTTTCTTTCTGTCACACTAGAAAATGTGATAGTATTTCACTTTGTTGATATGATTATACGTGCAATTATTCTTCGCTGAATAAAGTAAAAGTAAATTTTTCAAATAAGACATACAAATGGCCAACAGGTATATGAAAAGATGCTCAACATCACTAATTATTAGGGAAATGCAAATCATTTGAGTTATCAACACCTTATATCTATTAGCATAGCTATTATGAAAAAAACAAGAGACAACAAATGCTGGCAAAAATGTGGAGTAAAGGGAACTCTTGTACACTATTGGTAGGAATGTAAACTGGTACAGCCACCATGAAATAGTATAGAGGTTCCTCAAAAAAATTAAAAATTGAACTACCATATAACCCAAAGGAATTCTAGGTATATATCTGAAGGAAATAAAAACACTTTTTATTTCAAAGAGATACCTGCACGCCCATGTTCAGTGCAGCATTATTCACAACAGTCAAAACGTGGAAACAACATAAGTGTCTTGCAGAAAAAAGGTTCCCCACCCCTGCCTTAGACCAAGCCTCTGTAATGTTTTTCATTTCATGACAGATTCTGAATACTTTTCAAAAATTTGTTCAGCAATAGAATCTGAATACTTTTCTAAGTTTGCTCAGCACACCTCAATAAACAGGGAAGAAGTTACAAACTCACTGAAAAAAACAGCAGAGGTGCCCAGCCAGTGTGGCTCAGTATTTGAGTGTGGACTTATGAACAAGGAGGTCAGGGCACATGCCCAGGTTGTGGGCTTGATCCCCAGTAGGGGGCATGCAGGAGGTGGCAGATCAATGATTCTCTCTCATCATTGATGTTTCTATCTCTCTCTCCTTTCCTCTCTGAAATCAATAAACATATATTTAAAATGAAAGAAAAGAAAAGAAAAGAAAAGAAGAGAAAGGAAGGAAGGAAGGAAGGAAGGAAGGGAGGAAGGGAGGAAGGGAGGAAGGAAGGAAGAAAAGGAAACAGCAAAGGTAAACAACTCTCCCAGTTTACCTGGGACTGAGGAGTATTCAGGGACACAGGCTTTCTAGTGCTAACACTGGCAAAGTAATGAGCAAACTGTGATGACTGTCCACCCATTTTAAAAAAAACTATCAAAAGGGTTGTATTGAGCATGTTGAATCTTTGAAAGAAAATCTGACTATAATAAGGCAGGAGAAATAAGGTACCGCATAGAATATTTTATTTTCTCTATTAGACACTAAGGACAGGATCCCTGTCTGAATTCAGTTTGGTATTCCCCCAAAGCATCTAGCTCACTGCCTTGCATATTATAATCTACTAGAGGCCCGGTGCAGCAATCAGGGCCTATCAGGGCCTTCCTTTGTTCCACACCGCCCCCTGGTGGTCAGCACATGTCATAGCAAGCGATCGAACTCTCAGGCTCCTGGTCGAACTCCCGAGGGGACACTTTGCATATTAGCTTTTTATATATATAGACTAGA